CCACCGTGGGGATGGTCATGCTCAGTCTGGTGAGGATATGTGCAGTTAGCAAGCACAGGGGCTTGGGGGAGGGGGCAGGCCAGCCTGTGCTCCCATCTGGGGGTCACCTGCTGGTGACTTTCAGGGCTGGGGGAGGCGGCCTTCAATGGCACTTGAAGGACTAGGAGAATCCGGGGAGGCAGGGAGCCAGGAAAAAGGAAGTCTGGAGAGACTGGATCAGCACCTGAAGTTGGGGTTGGACTGACATAGGCAGAGGCTTTTCCAATTTTTGCTTCCTGAACCCTGTGTGTGCAGCTCACTCCCTCATCGCTCCTGCTGGGGCCAGGGAGGAGCCTTGGGGTCTAGAGCAGGGTGGCAGGGCAGCAAGGCTGTCACACCCAGGCCACACTCCTTTCCCTAGAGCATCCCAGAGGCAAGGTGAAGGGCAAGTCCTGCTGCTCACGGGGTGTACTACTCTGGAAAGGCAGGGTTTTTTTCAGCCGCTTGCCTAGCGGGGTGAGTATTTGCAATGGTCCTTGGGTAGGTGCAGGCAAAACGGCCTTTCTCCAGGTCTGGGCGCTGAACATGTTGGCAGGGCTTGAGGGGAAGTGAAGCTCCTTTTGAAATTTGCCAGGCAATTTGGGAGACGGGACAGGGGTGGAAAGGACTGGGGAGCTGAGCTGGGAGGGAACCCAGTCTCCTGGGGTGGGGAAGGAGGGCAGGAGATGGGATGGGAACTCCTGGGAAAGCAGAACCTGAGAGGCTAATGTGATGGAGGCCTATGGGGCTGGAATGTGAGCCCTCCCTCCCGGCCCTCCTCTGCCCCCTCTCCTGCCCTGTGTGCCTCTCCCTTCCCAACTCTGTTTAACTTCCCTTATCTTTCCACACCCCACAGGTCTGCAGGTCTGCGGAGTTGGGAGTTCTCAAAGGAGATGACAGGCATTGTAGGCCATGAGAAAGTTTGGGCCTCTGGGGTGGGTGGGGGGATGAAACCTTATCACTGTGCAGGTCACCTGCCCCTTTCCCCACAATCTCTGGGGAGGGAGCCGGAGACACCTAGATGGAAGTCCAGGCTTCCTCTTTCAGGGAGGGCGGGCCCACTTCTCAGGCCCCACAGGTACAGGCAGTTCTGCTGCCCTGATACTGAGGTGCTAGAGTAAAGCCCTGCCCAACCCCGCCCGCAGGTTCCTGCAACCCTGGAGTGAATGCTTGACATTTCAAGCACACCTTTGCCTTCCTTGAAAGCAAAGTGCTTTGCTCCTCTAGTTGCAGTCTCACATACCTCAGAAGATCCTCAGATGAACTTAGTCTCTCTGTGCCTCAGTTATCTCAGCTACAAAATGGAGTTGTGATGGGGACTATGTCAGTCAGGATAGGTCATGCGCTTAGAGGAGTTCCTGGCACAGAGGAAGCACTCCCTTGGTGTTTGCTGTGTCGCCCAGCTATGTCCCTCTAGGGGTCACTTTCCCTTTCTCAGTCCCATTTTCTTCACCTGTAAAAATGAAGGGGTTTGGGGGAATGAAGGACCTGCCAGCCCTGACCTAGGATTCTGTATGCCTAAGGCAGGAAGATCAGAGATTGTTGCCCTATGAAAATAGACAAGGGGCATGGGACCTCCACAAGATGAGCTTTCCTGTCTAAGGTCACAGAACTATTTACTTCCAGGCCCATCTAGGCTTAGGATTCAGAGTTCGAAACCTCTGGTGTCTGACATGGTGGCAGCCTGCCAATTCTTGAAACCTAGGTCAATTAGAAAGCATTTGGTCTGCATGCTGGGGCGGTGCAGGGAGGGGCAGAAGGGACTGTGATATGGGGGTCCCAACAGCCTCTGGGGCCAAGGAGAGCTTGTGCAGACCCACATAACCCTGCGCTGGCCTTCCTCACTGGCCAAGGCTCCCATTTAGTGCCACACGCCCCTTCTCCAAGAGCACTCATTCCCTCTGGAGGGTACCCTGAAGCAGTCTTACTGCTTCCTGGGGCCCCAGCAAAGCTCTATTTGTAAGCAGGTGCTTCCTATATAGCTGCACCTTCCAGGTACCCTGGGCAGGTGACACCGGTGAGTACGACTCAGAAAGGGCCAAGGAAAGACTTTGCCAAGCTGCCCAGCAAGCCCTGGACAGAAGCAGACTCGGGACTGGAATGTGGATTTCTGGGCACCTGGCCTCACGTAGAAGGAAACCCGAGGGCCAAGCAGGTTTCCTGGAGCAAATGTTGCCCAAGCGAACAGTGCCACGGGGGAGTATGCTGAGGGTCTGGCACTCTGTCTCTGGGGTGGCCCTGTGGGTTGTCTAGAATGCTGGAAGTTTCCAGTGGCTGAGGCACCCTCAGCATGGGGAAGCAGAACCCGAGCGGGAACATAGCAGCTGATCCCAGCTGACGAAGGATAGAGCCAGGGATGAGACTTGACTGGCTGACAAGTGACTCTGAATTTGAACAAGCGATTTGACCTCTCTCAGTCTGATTCCCCATTTAGAAATTGGGAGTAGTAATGCTGCCCTGTCCAGTCAGGGTTAGAATGAGTCTTAGCAGAGACAATATAAGCTGCTACTAGTAAGCTTGCACCGTGGGCCGGGCACTGTGCACATTTTACCTCATCACGTCATTCAACCCTGATCACAGTGCTGAAAAGCAGGCAGAGGCATCATGCTGCATGTGGAAACCCAATTCATTGAGATCAAAACACTGGTGGGAAGGTCCCAGGCCAATAAACATTGGATTTGAACCCTGACCTGACTTTGGACTTCCCCTTGCACTGAGCTCCCGTTGTTGGTGTGGCTACTATCAGATAGCAAGGGGCAGAGACCAACTTATAACGACTTGATTAAATGTCCTTAATTCTAGGCCTTGCTGCCAACTCTAAGTCCTCCCTGTGGGCCCTGGCGAGGGTTCAAGGGCTGCGTTGAAGGGGTTGTCGACACTTCCTTTGAAGCAGGCTTTGACAAACTCTGACCCGCCGTATGTTTTTATAAATAAAGTTTTGTTAGAACACAGCCATGCCTGTTCACTTACACTATGTCTGTGGCCCTTTTTGTGCAGCCAAAGTCCAGTTGAGTAGTTAGGGTAGAGATTTCGAATGGCCAACAAAGGCGAAAATCCTTATGCTCTGACCCTTTGCAGAAAAGTGTGCCGACCTTTGATTTGCCGCTTTCAAGGAAATGTTCTGAAGCCCAAGGCAGCAGGAAGGTTGTCACTCGCTGAGCACTGACCAGTATGTAGGGAAAACTCGCTTTTCAAAGGAGCCCTGGAGAGGCCTTCCATTTCTGGGACTTCCCAGAGAAATGCTGGCTCAGTCTGCAGTCACTTTAGGGCCAGGAGCAGACGGTAGTAAGTCTTCTCTGCCAGTCCCTTCGGCAGTTAGCTGGCACAGGCTCTTTCTAGTCAGAAATTTTGGATTGAGAAATTTCGGTTGAATAACCTTTAGGCCTGAAAAGCAGAATTACATAAGCACCTCAGGGTGGCCGCTCAGGTCAGGCCTCATAGTAGCCCAGCCCAATTAGGGATACCGAGTCATCTAGACTCTCTAGTCTAAAATATTGGGCTTCCACGCACCTCATTTTACACAACACCCGGGGCCCTGAAAAGCTACATGTGCGCTCTTGCTGTTTGTCTTCCTCATTTCTGTCTCTCCAGAGGCCTCTCATTTCCGGATGGATTTGAAGAACTGTTGTTTTTTGGGTTCTCTGCCTCTCCCACCCTTCAGCCTCTGGGTTCAGGGCTTATGGTCCGGAATTAGTTAAGTGAACTCATTCTTCATTTTACCCTCTGCAGTTTGAGAAACAACCCCCTATTCTGATAATTTTGCATGTATCTGGTCAAGTCACTATCTCGCCAAAGGTTAGCGAGCCTTGTGTCCTACCTTCTTTTGGTTTGATGTCCAATTATTTTCACAAAAGCTACCCACTCTTCTCCCCCTCACTCCCTGGCCCAAGGAGCCACCACTAGTTGACTATACATGCCCAGAGGACCCCGGGGACTGCTCCTCCTTCCTCGTCCTCCACTTCCATTGTCCACCATCTTCCTGCCAACTTAATCAAATGCATTTGGGCCTCCTGGGACTGGTGTTAGCTGCTGAGCCCCATTCGCCTCTCTCTGAGTCCACCAGGCCACACCATGCCATCTATTTCGATCACGCTTACTGAGAACACCTAACACACTTTGTACCTAAGGCTTCTCTCTAGAGAACACTCTGTAGTGCCATGGGAGAAGTCTGTCGTGTAAATTCGAAGTCCAGATGCTATTTTCACTTACTGGCTGTTAGCCTTTGGGCAAATGAGTTCACCTCTCTGAGCCTCTCATTTATAAAATGGGGCTGGTGGTCTCTGGCTCAGTTGTTAGGATGAGAAAATGAGTGGGTAATTTTTAAAGACCTCTGTAAACTGTTGACAGGTTACACACACACAGGACAATATCAAGTTGACCTGCCCTGCCAACACCCCTTTCTCCTTAGTTTCTTGTGAAATCAGAGCTTTTGGGGGTGATTAAGACTATAACAGACCAATCAGCATAAAGCCAGCCCACCCAAAACCTCCTTGCCTAGAATCTGTTCCTCTGATGACCAGTTTGCTTAAAATTCAAAGTAATAATATTGAAAGAAGGAATTTCTCACCACATTTCCTATGAGGTGATGCCAACAACGTATTTTTAAATCACTATGTCATCATCACCAACATTTTGTCAATGAGATTGTTTTGTATGCTAGCGGGTGGGTTTTTCTATTTTATCTCCTATGGAGCAGTTTTATGACTTTTGAGCAAGTTTTTCTGAAAACCCGTTCTTTAAAATTGTGTATTTTTAGCACTAAACACTTGTCAAATCTGTAGAATTTCCCACAAGATTTATCGAAGGCACCTTTTAGAGCGCTCCTTGTCGGCGTTTACTCTGCATTGTGTATGCCTGTGTGCACGTAATGAGTTGATTAACCAAATTAGCATGTACCTAATGTTCCTTTCTGTTCTGCAAGATATTGGCATTTTGACAACAGGCGTGAAGAAGCGAGATAGATGGGGCAGAATTGTATTGAACTCCTTGCATTTTATTTTTCAGGTTATCTCATTCATCAAGCAACTCTACTTTGTGAAACATAAAATGATACATACAAAGTCATTACCAAATGTATTTATTGCAGGAAACATAACATTTTTCAAGAAAGGCAAACTGGCTAAAAAGTCCTGAAAGTGTTCAAAAGTCAATAAAACCAGAAGACACCCACCAAGGATACAAAATAAGTTTTGAGTAGAAATCCTTCCTTGAATCAGAATGCTTTGAAATACATTGCTGTTTAAAAATTCTTTAAATGACACCGCCAAAAACAGAAGGACAACCCTAGAAAAAGGCCAAACACTTAAAAGTGGACTGAATTTTATGTTAATGTTATGTTAAACTTAAGAGATTTCTCTTGTGAGTTTGTGGTAAATTGGTTTGAGGCCATTTGACCTGGAACCAATTTGAGATGCAGGTTCTGAGCTCCCTGCACGTGCAAAGTGTGGGCCTGGGGGCCACCATGGACCCCAGGGGAGGGTTGAATGTCTTGACCTCCAAGAGTAAGGGCGAATTGTCAGCTTTCAACTCTTTATTATAAAGACATATTTACAAAGAAACAATCTTTACAAACAGTGAAAACGATTATGGGAGGGGAACAATCGCTTATTGAAAAGACTCTTAATATCTTTGTATAAATTAGTATAAGAATCATACACAACCACTTTAAATAAGACAGCCCCCCCCAACGGCCCTCCTCTGCTGTGTCTCCCGACTTTCCCAGTGTCCCCTTTGTCCCTCTTCCCCTTCCCATGGGGCCGGGCAGGCTGAGGAGCCGGAGATGCAGTGTGGAGGAGGGGGGAGAAGGCCCAGTCCCTGGTGGGGCAACTGTGGCAGAAGAGGCTTTCTGGACACTGGCCAGCCCTCTAGTCTGAGGATGCGGGTGCCCGGCAGGCCTCCCCAGGGAGGGCCTCAAAGCAGCAGCAGCAGCAGCAGCGGCGGCAGCATTAGCAGCAGCGAGTAAGGGCAGAGGCGGCTAGGCAAACATGGAATTACTGTGGGAATCAAGGGGCCCTGAGGACCCCTGGCCTCACACACACATAGGTGGCTGTGAGTGTTCATCTTCCCTTTGCTTCCTTCCAGGAGGCCGCAGAGGGGGAAGCCTACGCAGCCCTCCATGACCTCCCATCTCTCCTTCTTCCTTCCTTTCCCCCCTCTTCCCCTCTCCTTCCCTTCTTCCCGTCCCCACCAAAGGAAGGCCACTGGGAAACCCACTCAGCACGAAGGGAAGCCTCCTGAGAATCAGTGTTGGCTTTGGAACGGCAGCCTCGGTACCTGAGCGGCGGCAGCTCTGTCCCCACGCCAGCGCTGGGCAGGTCATGGGGGCTGCCTCCCCCTTACCGGCCACTCCTGTCCCAATCCCGGGAGAAGGCACTTAACGTGTTTTGGGAAGACATCATCAAGAAGGAAGCGGACATCATCAAGGGGAAGCTGGGGGACCTGGGTCCTCATTCTGGCTCAGAGGTGACCCTGAGTGGGTCACCATCCCTCAGCCGGCCTGAGTGTTTGCAAGAGTTTGCATGAGGAGGCGGAGCCACTTGAGCACCAGGGTTCCTTTTGGCTCTGAGTTCTGTGATTCTTGGCAAAAACAATCCCCCTGCTTGGCTTTTGCTCCTGGGAGGGTATAGAGTCACCTCAGACCCATCACCCTCCGCTCCTGAGTGGAAGCCTGAAGTAGGTGGGGGTGGGGCTGAGTGGGAGGGGAGTGTCAGGAGACATAGTGAGGTAAGAGAAGTGACAAGATATTTCATGGGCCCGCGTCTCCTTTTCCTCAACTGGGCCAAACACCAGGGGATGAGGGGACAAAGAGGCTACAGCAGCTTTTCCTCCTCTTTTCTAATGCTTCGCCCCTCCTCCCTCAGCATGCCAATCCCCCATTCCAATACCCCCCCACCAAGGCACCCAGTCTGCATCCCGATGCCCCAACCTGGCTAACTAGAGTCTCTCCCGGCCTGTTGCTATAGTTCCTTCTGAAGGAACTGACAGGGAAATCTGTCAAATACAGGAGGCCACCAAGAAGGGAGCTTCCCAGGGTTGCACCCAGCCCAGGGATAGCCCAGGAAGGAAGGGGTTAGATGGGAGGGCAGGGATTAGGGTACAGGGAGGGTTGGAGAGGAGAGTGTCGGCCTTCCAGTGCTGGGTCTCCAAAGTCAGTCGAGGAAGGGCCAGGATGAGGGGCTCAATGGATCCTTATGGGGCAAAGGGAATCATTCCAGCTAGGGGCAGGGTGGCCATTCAGAGAAGCTGGTGGGTGAGCACAGTGCAGACGGTCAGCAGCTGGGACAGGTGGAGAAGAGCGGCGAATGGTCGTGAGGGCTCCGGAGAAGCAGATCAATCAACGGAGCAGAGAGAATTGTGGGGTTGGTAGGCACTTGGGGGCCCCTTCAGTCCTAAAGAGACAAAAATTACCAGGAGTCATTGGTATAGCCTAGGTTAAAGGGACCACACAGGTCAGGAGAAGATTCATGGGACCACATGGGTCAGGGTCAGCATTCAGCCCCACCCCCTCAACCCTGAACCTAAGGTCAAGGGCTACCCTGCCCCAGATATAAGGGAGAGGCTGCAGGCTGGGCCTCAGGGGCAGACACAGGCCTTGCCCTCTCTGCAGCCACCACTGTTTTTCTCTCCTCTCACAGCGCTGGGCAACCACAGCCACAATGCCTATTCATGGCCCCTTGGCCCATCAACCCCCAAGGCGCTCCTACTGTCGCCCCTCCCCTGCTGAGGATCACACTGGATACCTGTGCATATGCCGGGGGGGGGGGATCCTTCCCCAGCCTCCTGGGACTTCTAGAACCCTCCATCTGGGCCAGCCTGCCCAGCCCCAGGCAGCAGGTTGAAGGGGAGCCAACAGCCAACTTCTGAACAGTCAGAAGATTGGCCCAAGTATCAAACCCTCCTCTGGGCCTCACTCCCCTCCGTGTATAAAATGAAGGTAACGGATGGTATTCTGGAAGCATCTATGTTGTGTGGTGCTGGGACTGCTCAGTCCAGGTATCTAGTGGTGACAAGCAGCAGGATCACCCAGCTTCAAAGCTGTCCCTCCTACACCCCTTCTGCCCTCCCGGACCCGAGGCTCAAGTACCTGCTTCAGAAAGGCATGGGTCCCTTATGGGAGAGGCGTGGCCGCTGGCGGCGGAATTTTCTCCGACCTCCCTGCCAGGACCCTGGACCAGTCCTTGGCCCTCGGGGCTGCACCAGGTGGCGGACATTGCTTTCCTGAAGCCCCTTCCGGTCACAAGGTTGTAGCAGAGGCCCTGCAGAGAAGAGAAGGCCTGTTAGCAAGGAAGGCTGAGGCGCATGGCAGGGGCCACAGAACACAGACTGGTGGGAGAGGGCCATCTCTCCACGAGGGGCCCGCCTCAGAGTTGCTCTGCTTTAATCTATCTTCCAGCCCAAGGAACAATTTGCCATTTTTACACTTTCCTGGGGCAAACGGAACCCACGACTTATATCTTGCAACTTCTGGAGCTGATTTTCTGTCATTTGACAGTTCTATCCTGTTTCTGGCTGGCACAAACCATTTCTTTGTTTAGAACAACTCTGGGGGGTGCGGTTTGGGACATTAAGCCTGCATTTGGCTAGGGCACAGCGGGCGATAACCCTCCATTGCACCTTGGCAAGGATACACTTAAAACATAGCAAACATTTTTCAATGAAATGAGCACCCCCCAACCCGCAACCCCTGTCCCACATAGTTATCTGCATGGAGCCACATCTACCTTAGCTGCTGTCCTTTTTTCTCTGTGGAGGCATTTTAAAGCAAATCTAGTTCATCAGGCCATTGTATTCCCACACCCTTCCAGATGCAGGGGACCCACTTTTGAGGACCTAAGATGTTGCATGAATGAATGAGTGAACAACTGAGTAAAGCACCACCTGGAGCAGCAAGTCTCGGCATCAGCGGGGAATGGGTGGTTATTGATGAACCTCCCCACTGGGTGCCCTGCTTTCATCCCCAGATCATCCCCACAACCCGTATCTGATGCCACTTCTGTTCCAACCCAAGCTGACTTCTCTTCTGCTCTCGGAGTTGGGGGGTGGGAGGCAGAGGGGGTTTCACTGTACAGCTGAGAGCAGAAGCCTCCAGGGGCTCCTTGCTATAGCTGTCGCCATGTGAACTCGTAGAAACCTTTGGTGTCAGACCAAGCCCCAGCAATGGAACCCAAGTGGTGCTGCGTGTTTCTGGTGACAATGAAGAGGTGTGGGAACAGCCTGGGAAGGCGAGCTGGTCCTCCAGAGATGAGCCCGCTGCAGGAGGGCAGGCCGAGATGGTGCTAGTCAAGAGGCGGCCTGGCGAGGGGCTTGTGCAATACTGAGCATGGGCTGGCCCGCAGAACCCCAGCTTCTGATCATGAATCCTAGTGCCTCCCCCACCCCCACCAGCAGATCCGCCTTCAGCTATCTCCCTGGTCCCCTGACTGCACCCACCCAGGAATCCTCACCCTAGATCAATTTCCATATAACCGCCCATTGGCTGCTGGCCCTTGGCTCCTCCTTTCCCATCGCCCTGCCTCTGGCATCCCCTGCCCTGGTTTCCCCCTTGACTCCTTGGCTCTGGTGATTCCTCCCTTGCTTGCACACAATTTCCAGGCTTTTATCCTCCTTTTGAGCCAAAAGCAGGCGAGGTTTGTCCTTAGGGTCCTTCCCACCCAGACTCCCTAGGCCTGCAACTTGCTATACTCACACCCAGACTCACGCATGTGCAGTGCATGCACACACACACGTACACACACACACACACACAATCTAGCCATCTGCCCTCCTTCAAGAAACAGAAGTCACAGACCTTGTAGGCCTGTGTTGTCTGTCAGCCACCCTTCAAGGCTGAGTGAGTTAGTGTGTCGCCTCCTCCCCTAAACCCATGACCTGAAGAAATTTAAAATACAAAGTGTATTCGCTCTTTGGGGCAGCAGGTGTAGACGGGGGCAAGGAGGCCACTTCTGTCTGTCATAGAGCAACTGGCTTGGTGCCATCTGCAAAGGGACTGGACTGAGGCTAGGAAGGAGGAAGGGCCTTTATTCACTGAGCCCCTCACCTCAGCTGCTTCAGTCTCTGCCCTGTGTTTTAGGGTCCCCTCAAGGTTGTGCCTGCCCAGTAGGAGGGGATAGGAATGATGCTAAGGTCTAAGCTGAAGGTGTGATCAGGCACCGGAAGACCCCTGGCACCTTAAAAATGTAAGGTAGTTCTCATGTCTAGGGCCTTAACTTCGGGGGGAGCAGGGGCTGGAGGTGGGCCACTGGCATTGGCTAAGGCCCCATGGGGACACTGGGCATGAAGAAGAGCGGTCCAGTGCTGGGACAGGGAGGGGATCGTCTCCAAATGCTCAGCACCCAAGACTGAGTTGCTGGCAGTCGAGAAGAGAGGTCTGGGGGAGAAGGGCCATAAGGGGGGAGGCCTAGAGCCAGGATGGGGAACAGGGATGGGGCTTAGACTCTGGTCAGGGAGACAGTAGATTCTAGGCCTGCAGCAAACCGCCTGAGCTGACTGAGCACTCAGTCGGGCTCTGGAGAACAGGCACCCCAAGTCCCAGGCATCTTGCATCCCATGGGCAGGGTGGGGGGGGGAGCTCACTGTCCTCTTTGCGGAAGTCTGCAGATTCCCCCTGCACCCCATCCATCACCCACCTGTTTCCTACTTTTGATTCTGAGTCTGGCTTACCCTAAGATAAGCTGACACCTGAAACCCAGGCTTTATCCTGTGCAAAGGGACAAATTAAAGGTTGTTGATTCTCATGGAGGCAGAGGGACTGGCTATACAAAAGAGTTCCCCTGTGGGCCTGGGGGCCATCCCCAGTGCATTTAAATATTTTCTTTCAATTCACTCGCCACTTAACGGGAGGCTGGGGCCATCCCCCAAAGAATGGCAAGCCTGAAGGGTCTGGAGCCTTTGTTCTCCACAGTGCCACCAGCAGTGAAACTACGGCACCCCCCACCCTGAAAGCCACAGTTGGGGGGGGGGTGGAACAGGGTTTGATTTTCATGCAACGTGAATTCCAAAGGGGCCAGTGCACGAAGCTGTGAGTGGGACTCTCCATAGCGCCATCCTCACCCGGAATGACACACCTGCTTCTCCTCTGCCTGCTCGGGTTCCCTTAGGGGCCTGCAAGTGTGCTCTGGTGGGCACCCCACCGGCTATGTCCCCTCCACTGCTCCAGGTGCTACATGTGTCTCGGGGATGCGGGAGCCTTCTTTTCTCTGCCCAGCCCCCATCCCAGTGCCCTGAGCTGTCTTCCTCTGCCAGCTTTGCTGCCCTTGGACACACCATGCTCTGGCAGCCGTGCCCTGCACTTCAGTCCTTGGCCGCTGAGAGGCCTGACTCCGGTTACATGGGTGCTTAGTCTGGAGGAGGTGGGGATGGAGTGGAGCGGCCCCGCCCTGAGCTGGGGGGGGGGGTACAGTAGGCTGACCTCACACTGGCGCTGTGGTTGCTGACTTCTGACTTGGCATTGAGGTTGGGGAGCTAGAGAAAGAGGAGCAAGGGGGCAGGAAAGGAGAGAAAGAGATGCTCAAAGACCAAAGGATACTTGGCCCTGGCCCAGCAGCTCTCACACTCAGAAGAGCAAAGTGTATCCCAGGTCAAGAGGCAGTGGAGGAGTGTGTGCATGTGTGCCTGCGTGCGTGCCTGCTTGTTGGTGGTGGTGGGGGCGACATTCCAAGTCAGGACAGAGTGTATGTAGAGGAATTATGGTGTTCAGGCCTGGGACTTTGACTGGAGGCTCCGGCTGGGGAGAGCATGCAAGTTAGGTAAGGGTAGGAGGTTCTGGGGTCCTGTTTCTGACCTAGGCCAGGAGCGGAAGGAGCAGGATAAGTATACCTGGACCCTCTGCCCTGTGTGAGGTCATAGGGTACAGAAGGCAGTAGGAACCTTGGAAGTTTCCAGTGCTAGACTCAAGCAAAATGTGAGGGCAACAAAATTACCTAAATCAGGGTGTGAAGACAGATGGCCGAATGGAGGGAGAATTCAAGCGAGACATGACTGGATCTGGGCCAGTGTTCCCTCCCCCTCAGAACCAGCTCTCCCCCTTACAAGTACTGCTCCAACAGTTGGATCCCCAAAAGGATTCAGGTGGGGGTCCGTTGGCCAAGGGTCTCCCCTAGCTTCTGGGGGAGCACCAACTGTGCAGACAGGAAGCCCCAGTTTCCTCTGGAATACCTTTCTTCACCCACCCTTTCTTCCCTGAATGCACTACATTGGAGTATGTGCCAGTGGGGTACCCCTGGATGTCTTGTCAACCTCGCTTCACCTGGACGGCAGGCCCATGTGTTGGTTTCATTCATATCCCTTGCTCACTCCCCACCTTTGCCTGCCTGGCAGGAGCTTCCGAGGAAAAGCCTGCTCTCTTCTTTCCCCGGAGGTGGCTGACCCAGTGCTCGGGCCCCGAAAGACCACTGGATGGCTACCTGAGGCAGGTGTATGGGAACCAACTGAATGCCTGGCTGAGAAGCAGGACAGAGGGCAGAGAAAAGAGCTGACCTACCAAGAGAGGGGGGTAGAGTCTGGTCCGGGCCCTCGGATGCCACTGGGTTGCCCACCATGGTCCTATTCTGGAGGGTCTAGAACCAAGTAGGATCCCGTGCCCTTCCTCTAGGAAACTTGCTGCCTTGCCCTCTCCTTCCCTCTGCTCCCACTTCCCTGTGACTTCAGCCTGGCACGGGCATTGTTCCACCTGGTGTGGGCCTTCCCCTTCTGTGGTGCCCGGCAGGCAGCAGTGACAGCCAGATCACAGGACTGCAGCGGTTGGAGGTGGGGGCTGGCCACCCCAGGAGACACTGCCCCACAGACGCAGGGCAGCTGGGGCTGCAGCTGCTGGGGCTGAGTGGAGACCTGCCTTGGGGAGGGCAAGGGAGAACTAGTGCCAGGTATTGCCAGGTAGAGGGTATGTGGTGCAAAGCCAGGAAAAAGGGCTCCCCCCTCCCCCAGCTTCAGGAAGGTCTCTGGTGGGATGCTGTTTCCTGGTTCGGTGCCTGCAGACAGGGGAGCTAAGGTGAAGTATGCCTGTGCATGGGGCCAGGATATCGAAGAACCAAGTCCCTGGGGTGGGAAGGAGGAGAGCTTCCTGGGGGGAACCGACAGCAGAGCAGACAGGACCTTGGAGTGAGAAGACCAGCTTGACCCGGGGCAGGCCAGTCTGCCCCTGCTCACACCCAGGCCCAAGTAGCAACAGCTGGGCTCCAGCCGCCGCCACCCCGCCTCCGCCATGCGCTGCTGTCTATGCAACAAGTGTCACGTCTCCTTCTTGGCACATCTTCCCCGGTGGCCCGCGCCCCTGAACCGGCCTGGCGGCCTCTAAACTCTGGGAGCCAGAAAACTTTCCACACGCCTGCAGCCCACTGGGCTCCAGACAGATTCCTCCGTGGACCCACGAGGGGAGTGGGACACGTCCCCTTCCACCTCGGGGGATGCGGGGCGCACGCCTGCGACCCCGAGCGCCTCGGGCTGCGAGGAGCGGCCCGCAGGGTCAGGCACCTGGCGGGAGATGCCCCGCGCAGGAAGCGGGCCCCGGGCCGCCCTGTCATTCAGCCTCCGGGCACGTGGCTGCTCCTGCTCGGCTCGCGCCGGCGCCCGGGGGCGGAGGGAAGGGCAGCGGCGAGGGGAGCGCGGCGAGCGGGAGGGCGCGCACTCACCTCCACACACCGCGGTCAGGGAGAGCCAGAGCAGCAGGAGCGCCCGCACGCAGAGCCGCAGATCCATGCTGCCGCCCCGGCCGCCGCGGCCCGGGCCAGGGGGCGGGAGGGCGGGAGGCCCGGCGCCCGGAGGCAAGGAGGGCGCGAGCGCGGCTCGGCGTGCGGGCGCGGAGTCGCGCGGCTGGGGGCGGCGAGAGGCGCGCCCGGGTGTGCGGCTGCCGGCCGCCGCCTCCTGGCTCCGGCCGCCTCGCTCTGCGCCCGATCGCGGGCAGCGCCGCCCAGCTCGGCTCGGCGGCTCCGGGGGCGGTGGCGAGCTCTTTCCCGGCGGCTGCCTGCGCGGTCGCGGCTCCAACTGCCGTTGGCGCGGGCTGCCAGCGGGAATGCTCCCCGCTCACTCCAGGGGCTGCATTTTGTAGCGTGCGGCCTGGCCGCGGGCCCACTTGGTCATGTGGTCATCGGAGGGCTGGAGGGGGGGCCAGGAAGAGGGAGAGGGAGCGAGCCTCCCGCACCGCCCCCCTCCCGGCACGCACTCGGCCGCCCCAGCCAGAGCGGGAGAGGGAACCTCGAGGTGGCCCCACAACAAAGGCTGCAGGGCGGCTCTGACAGCTCACAACCTCTCCCCGGGACAATACCCGCCGGGCCAGAGGGATTTTGAGACCTGAAGGATTTCAAACACAGGAAGCATTTGGGGTGGTGGAGGGGCACACTTAACCCTTTCTGACCTGGCTTCCTTAACAGCTGTCAAAAACCCTGGACTCTTAGGGGAAGACTGGCCTACTCACCCCACTCACCTCCACCGGGTCCTTCCCTTTGTCTCTGCAGCAGCAGGGGCTTGGTCAACCCCCACTGCCACCCCCCACCCCTCGCGCGCGTGCACACACCCACTGACCAGCCTCTCTCCTCTGCATCTTCAACTGGGTTTGAATTGGGGTGGCTGCCTAGGTTGGTATCCAAGGCAGCTTATTTGCCCAGGACCCCTATTTCTCCTGCCACCCTCCAGGATGCACCCTCCACCTGAAAAGCCCCCACCCCACCCCATCCTGCCTTTAAGCTCTTCATTCTTGCAGCAGCACTTCAAATCCCACCTCATCCAGAAGACTTCCTAGGATGGCATAATCCAACAGGCAATTTCTCCTGACTGTTGGGACATAGGACGACAGCACCTGCATTGCCCCCTATTTTGTTTCCCGAAGCTACCCCTTCTGAAAGTTCCCCATCATCGGGAGAGGGGTGCGATTTACCCAACTCCCAACAGTCTAGGCTGCATTCGGGATTCCCCTTTATAAGTGAGTCCTGAAGTTGTTTGCCCTCCCACATTAGTAGGTTCGCCTGTAGACCGGGAGCTTCAAAGGCAAGGGACGGCCTCTTTCACCCAGCAAGAAATCCCCTAAGATAGGACCCTGTCTCCTCATTCTTTTGGAGCTCTCCAAAGTCCCCAATATCGGACTCTGCACATAGGTGGCACTCAACACATGTTAAAAGACTAAATTGAAAGGTGTTTCTACATTTCAGCCAGCCAGTGTCGAAGTACAAGTCCAAATTTACACAAAAAAGTGACACTGCTCAGTGTGGATGTGAGACCACAATATGTTTAAAATGTTAAAACAATCCAGTGTATACTCAATTTCTTTATCAGGCTCTCTCCACTGTCATTGTCAGATCCACATTCAAAGAGTCAGCTGTGTTCACAACTTCATCTGCAGACCTAACTGGGAATTGGTGCTTAAAGCATAATCTTGAGTATCCAAATGAACTTTTCAAAAATATTTCTGTTCCTTAAATTAAGGTAGCGGGAAGAGAATAAAATAGGATTCTTGTTAATAATCTCTGCCCCATTAACCACAGTCCAGTAGGAAAAAGGCAGAGACATACAAGGTGAATGTGGGTATTAGTGGCATGATCATTTCCCTGCACTGTCCCCCTGGAAAGTCTTCCAATAGGGAGGAAAAACACCTTTATCTGCTGTAGGACCTCTGTTTACTGGGTCTCATAGGAATGCCTGTCTCTGTTCTCAGGGTTGTTACTGGATTAAATGAGATAATGTACCTGCAGGCTTCGAGCAAATAGTGAATAAATCCAGGCAGGGATGTTTTTCCGTACTACGATGCTCCAACTCCTGATTGAGCAACCCCATACACCCCCAAATGAAGGCTTCCCCCATAACTAGGTTAATGAAAGCATTCGTATCTAATTGTACCTTTACGAGGCTGCATGTGATCTGTTTGCTAAGTGGTTAGAGCTGTGCTTTCCAATATGACAGATACTTAACATTCAAAATGAAAAATTGATTTGCTCAGTGACACTGACCATATTTCAATTGCTCAATAGCCACATGTGGCTAGTGGGTATCGTATAGGACAGCACAAACTAGAACCTTCCAATTGTAGAAGTTCTATTGGACAGCACTAGGTTGGAACGCCTCACATTCTTCCTTTTTCAATATTCCCCTTTTCTCACCTAACCTGGTCTATCAAAATGTACATAATCGGGGCAGGGGTGGGGGAAGGGGGCACAAAAGCAAACCAGGGTGCAGGGGTTAAAGGCTGCGCTATTAAGCTACTGCCAGCACTAGTTAGATCCCCTATCAGGCAGGGAGCTACCACATGGCGCAGCAGACCTCTCCTGACTTGCCCGCTGCTCCCCTCAGCAGTGTATTTCAGTCAGTCTGTCTGTTTTGCTCCCCACTCTGTCGCTGTTGAATCCTCTCACCCCCTGCGCCTCTGGCCTGTGCCCCAGTTCTTATATGCATAAATAAATCTTTTTTTTTTTTTTTAAAAGCAAACCAAAGGCAAAGCAACACTCAGCAAAAAGGTGTGTGTTCAAAACAAGACAGAGTCGGACGCTAGGGAAAATGTTGTAATCTAACCTTTCTCTTCACTTAACCAAATTACTTCCATTTTTTCAGTCCAGTTATTCCTTTCACTGGCCACTCTGGTCCATGGTGACTTTGCCCTCTTCATAATAGCTGTGGCTGAGCTTCCACCAGCAGTTACCCAAGTGGGGTGCTGGGCACACTTCAGTACCCACATGCCATGTGCTGAGGGCACTTCAGTACCTGCATGCCCTGTGCTGAGGACCTGCGGAGTGTCTACCGCCAGACTATCCATTCTGGAGTCAAGGCAAGCAACTCTGCTCCCTCAGAAACCCCATGGGCTCCCATTATATCTCCATATAATATTCAGTGACCACCTACAATGCTTATAGGGCACTACCAGGCCCATACTTGGCACACAGTAACCACTCTTCAAAGAAATAAAGAATTATTGGTGAAACTCAGAGCTGTCATTGGCAAGGAGCTCATACTATTGAGCTAGTATCAGCAGAATATTTTAGGGTATTTCTCCAGGGTTGGGGAGGAGTGCATAAAACCACCCCAACTCTCCTGCCCGAGAGCAGCTGTGAAGTGCATTGTTGCAGGTAAGGCTGAGGCCTGTGGTGGGGGAAGACTCAGTTTCCAATCAAGGCCAAGGGCAATCCTGGGGGCAGGGGTAAGGTTAGGACTCTATCTGGAGAGACAGAAATGAGACAGCTGGCCTATGTGAAGCCAGCCTGTGACTTGTCACCTGCATCTGCACTGTGAACAAGCTCAGGGTCCCACATCATCACCACCGCCACAGCTGTCTTGTTGACTCATCCAACTCTGTCCTCTGGGTTTGAGTGAGCAGGGTGGTATAGCAGAAAGAACTCCGCTTTTAGAATTTCAAATAACTGAATTCAAATCCTGTCCTTCAATCTCATTCCTTAGCTGTGTCTCCTTGGAAAAATTAGTTAACCTCTCTGATCCTCGATCTCGTCAGCTGTTAAATGAGATTACCTACCCGATGGGAGATTCAATGAGATAATGCATGTAAAGTACTTAGCATGGTCCCCAGCCCACAATATTTGCACTTTCAATCTTAGTTTTCTCCAACACCTGATGTGCTCCCACCTCTGCCTTGAGGCTCTAGCCTGTGATCTCTTGGACCTGATCAAGAAGGAAAGTCTCCGTCTTTGCTCTGCTCCATCCTCACCTGCCTTTTTAGTTCCCGAAAAACTGCTCGCTGCTTTAATTCCCCAAATCACCAATCTCTGCCGGGGATATTCTGATGAATGCCCTTAATCCAGGGAGTTAGTGAGTGATGTTGGTTTGTGGTTTTGCCACCCAGATGTGGTATTTATTTTAACAGGGTACCATGGGAGGGACTTTGGGAGACAGCGTCCTACTCCAGGAGAAGTTCAAGCTCCACCCTTTTGAGCCAGGAGACAGTTTAGTGACTTTCATTTGGCTGCTTTACATACAGCTCACTTTGCTTCAAAGACAGCTCAAAAAGGGATTCTCTCTGCAACTTACAGCCCAACCTGAACCCTTCCTTGGGCAAAATCATCACAACCTGTCCCACAGGTTCCTAGATGGGACAACACTGAGAGTTAGCAGGGATAACACAAAGACATGAACGCCCCCATCCCCAGCTGCGTAATGGGTAATTTCACTGGAGTAATGTAAACTGAGGAGCGCAGAGAAGCCATCCGGAGAATGATCAGTCTGATCAGAATCAGACAAATCTCATCACGGGAAGACTCCCACCCACTCCTCTCCTAATACAGTTGGACAAAATTGAGACCCAGAAAAGAATAGTGACCTACGTAAAGTTACACAGAAAAAACTGGTGGCAAAGTCGGAACGGGGTCCAGGTCTGTTTAACTCCCGTCTCCTGCTTTTCCCTCTGAGCTTCTCAGCACAGAGCGCTCACACACTGGCCTATCTACCGGCTGCGGAGGCACTCAAAACAGCTGGATTAGGTACCAGGCCTCCATTTCACAATGCAGCCCTTCTGGAGCCCCTCGTAGTAATGTGTCTACACAATGTCTCACATCGCGTGTTCCGGAAGACATAGGGTAAATTAACGAGCAAAGAAGTTCTGTAGCAATGATAGTGGTTAAAAGGTAGTTAAGCAGGGCCTCCCCGGTGGCGCAGCGGTTGAGCGCTGGGTTGTGAAGCTGCCCTCGGCCTCTGCGGCGCCCGTTAGATCCCCGGCTGCTCCCCGGCCACTGGAGGAGGGTCCCACATGGCGCGCAGACCTCTCCTGC